CATTCAGGTGAGTGTATAATGGTATTTCATTATAGCTTTAATTTTCATTTTCCTAATGACTAACATTTTTGAGCAGCTTTGTAGTGATTATACCTTTTGTATATCTTCCTTGGTGGATGTCTGGTCAAACCTTTCACCCATGTTTATTTATTGAGTTGTTTTTGTTCTTATTATTGATTAGTAGGAGTTATTTATATAATCTGGATATGGTCCTTTTCAGTCATGTGATTTTCAAGTATAGTCTCCCAGTATATGGCTAGCTTNCCTGCAGCAAAAAATCCTGATAGGGAGATCTACTTTACACAAATTAAATTGACTTGTGTTACCCGAACCGTCCTGATGATTTGGAAAGTCTGCCTTTTTAGCATTGCAGACTAGTTGCAACTATACAATTCATTAGCTTAAAAGATATAGGCATATTCAAATTGAAAAAATGCAAAGAGCACCTGATTAAGAGATTAAAAATAATGGTGGATTGACTTATTTTAATTAGACTTTGAATTCCTCGAAAAAAGCAAAATGTTTATGTACACGCTGTCTCTTCCTTTTTTCAAGTTTTTGTTACGTAGTTTTTAAATCTTCAGAAATAAAAACTTCACCTTTATTTCAGAGAATAAAGTTACCATTAGGCATTAAAAATGTTCTGCAAATAATGTCTCATCTTAAAGTCACCAAAGACAGTGGAAAGTTAATGGCATTTTATTTTATTTTATTTTGTTGTTGTTGTTGTTAATGGCATTTTAAAATACATTCTGTTTATGCTACCAAGGTTAATTTTGTGGGCATGGATACAGTTATAACACAATTCATGATTACTTGGCATACTGTGAATGATCTGTTAATATAAATTGAAGAAGTGCATTAATCATAAAGAATATATATATATATATAGCATATTTATGTACAGTAAGAAGACTGAAATTCAAGGGATAAAAGAGAAAACAATAGCACTAGTTACAGGGCTTAGGCCAAAGAAAGATGTAAATAAGTACTAAAAGTGTATCTAGGCAATATGGACAAATAAATGTGATTCAAAGTTTATGAAGAAAAGAATTAAGTTGGTTTTATGGGACTTCATGAAACTTGTCACCAGGACACTGCCAACTGATTTGTGCATCAGAGGGACCATTAGGAAACTGTGTCCATAATGGAAAGCTCAGCTCTGATATTAATAGACATAAAAATATATGGAAAAATACAAAAATGGTTGAAACAGAGGAGTGAGTTAGTTAAAATAAGTGGATTCAACTCATGGGAAGTTTGATGCTGTGATCTTGAGAGAGAGTCAGCTCCATCAAGCTACTCATAGAAACTTGACTTAGTGATGAGATTCAGCACTAAAAAAAGAATCCAGGATGAAGAGTAGAGCAATGCCTGGAAATCAAGTGGTCTGGACTGTTGTGGGCTATGGTATAGTTGGGTTGAAAGGAAATAGCTTGAAATGCTATTCTTCACAATTCAGTATTTTGATCAACTTTAATGACACAAAATAGAGCTCAGTCATGTCTGACTGCTTTCAACCCCATGGGCTATAGCACACCAGGTTCCTTTGTCCATAGGTTTCTCCAGGCAAGAATACTGGAGTGGGTTGCCATTTCCAGTATTCGAGATCTTCACAATCCAAGGATTGAACCCACGTCTCCTATGCTGACAGGCAGATTATTTACCAGTGAGCCACTTGGAGGCCACCTCTAATATTACCACAGGTATGAAGACTGTTTCTTTCCCAGAGGTCACCCCTCTAGTATATGCCCTACTGTTTTTCCCTTCAGGATACCATCTATTCATGTGTCTTTTTCTTGCACTGAATTCTGAGCTTTTTGAAGTGGAAATGTCTATCACTGACCACACGTAGTCACTAGCATTAAACCCAGGAAATAGCAAGCCCTCATAGCATAGATATTTTTGAATGAACTTTTTAAATTTTTGAATTAATTGACATAAAAATAAGGTCAGATTTCAGATTACTTATGTTCAACTTTTGTAGCATATGTAATTGCTAGTTTTGAGGGAGACTTTTTTTTTTTTTAATATTTCTGCCCAAATCCTTACTTGCCAACCAATATAATAGTGAAATTAGTCTATCCTTATCCATGCTGTACATTTATGCCACTAACCAAAACTAAAGAATTTAGGCAAATAGTAAAGTTTGATGATTTCTCAGACTTGAGTTGGCTACGCATAAATTTACAGCAGCATTATAAATTACAAGAGATTACAAAATGTCTCATTCTTTTTATACAAGAACTAAAGCAGTTCAGTTCAGTTCAGTTCAGTTGCTCAGTCGTGTCCAACTCTTTGCAACCCCATGAATCGCAGCACGCCAGACCTCCCTGTCCATCACCAACTCCCAGAGTTTACTCAAAGTCATGTCCATCGAGTTGGTGATGCCATCCGACCATCTCATCCTCTGTCATCCCCTTCTCCTCCTTCCCTCAATCCTTCCCAGCATCAGGATCTTTTCCAACGAGTCAACTCTTCGCATGAGGTGGCCAAAGTATTGGAGTTTCAGCTTCTGCATCAATCCTTCCAATGAACACCCTGGACTGATCTCCTTTAGGATGAACTGGTTGGATCTCCTTGCAGTCCAAGGGACTCTCAAGAGTCTTCTCCAACGCCACAGTTCAAAAGCTTCAATTTTTCGGTGTTCAGCTTTCTTCACAGTCCAGCTCTCACATCCATACATGACCACTGGAAAAACCATAGCCTTGACCAGATGTACTTTCGTTGGCAAAGTAACTAAAGCAGAGTCACACACAAATACTCCTCCAATTAGAGAAGGGCCTTATAACTATCAGTATGATCTATAGCTCATCTCTCTTAACTTCTTGCACTTTTGATATTATGTTATATAGCTACATTTTTTTTTCTCAAAATACTGCAGTTCTTTAAATGCAGATGTAATTTATATGTGCAATAGCCACCTACATTAACATTATATACCCTAAAGGTGCTCTTTTATTAAAATTGTGACCAGTTATTTGCTCATGATTTCTAGTGGATTTGAAACAAAATTTATAATGCCAAAATTTATAATGCCAGAGCCTTAATTTCTCTACACACATCAAAATAAACATTGAATTATGTTTCTCCTATTTCTAGCAAGTGGCTTTACCACTGTATCCATTTTGACCATCATCTAGTTCCCCTGCTATTTCCTTTTGAAAGTTTCTCCCATTGATTTTATTTGCATTAAAATTCTATGCATTTTTATTATTTTCATTATGGAATGTATCACATAAATTTTATGATATGTTCCATTGGTTATCCTCTTCTTAGACCATATGAAATTTCATTTCTGCCCACAAAAAGCAGATAACAAAGTCATCATAGTACCCATAGGACCTAGATTGTCTGTGACAGCTGACAAGCTAACACTGAGGAGGTTTCAGAGAGGAGGTTATATATCATATTAGTATGATGGAATCATTGAGTGAGAAAGTTGATGCTAAAAATTAGCTGTGATGTGCCTGTCTTCTTTTACTAGATCATAAGCACTTCAAGGACAAGGAGAATAAAGGCTTTATCTTTTTCATTTCCTATCATTCGTGAGTCAGCACTTGGGATACGAAGGTGTATAAGCAAGTTTGTTACATGAAACTGTTGAACTAAGAATAGGCAGGAGGTTGTAACATGAAGGAATTGTCTGACAAGTAAAGGAGTGTGATTGAGCTTGGACTACAAGCCAGAAAAGAAAAAAGATTCATAAAGGAATGTGACCGCATTATACAGTGCTGCAAAAAATTAAATAAAAATATAAAAAGAGACAACTGAAATTTATAATTACAGTTTAGACATCTTTCTGTATGTTAGTTGGTCATATGTGATTCCTAGACCTTGAACTATCTGTTAATATTACTTTTCTTCCCTAGTTTTTTATGATGTTCTTATTGATTTTTACAAATTATTTATGTAATCCTGATATGTATATTTTTGTTGGTTGTGTCTGTTTAAATATTTCCCAGTTTGTAATCTATATATATACAATTGTTAAGTGTGTTTTACTTCAATGCAGTCAAATTATGAAACTTTTCTTCTACATATTACTTTGAAATCCCTTCCTATACCAGGTCCAAAAAATATTCACCTACACTTTCTATTGTTTTGGGTATTAAATTTTAAGGTATTGTTTTTACCTTAATTCTATCAGAATTTGAATTTACATATTCCCCTATTTTTATTTACATATCTATACATCTTGGGAGTAAAATGTTAAAGAAAAAACTGAACTATATTAGTATTTAACACATAGTGTTTTAGAAATAAACTCCATCTGAGGTGAAAGAGGCTTGCACAATAAAGTAAGAAGTGTGAAGGTCATATTAATACCAACTGGTTTTTATAATAGAAAGTAGATATTTGGTTCTTTGTATAATTTTGATCACAGAAACATAATTTTGGGACATTTGGAAGAAAATCAGCTAGCTTTAGGGTCATTACAAAGAAGTAAATGCACAGGTTTCAAGGATGCAAGGTCCAAACTTGAGTTTAAATGCCATAAATGACATATAAATAAAGAGTGGAGAAGCAAGTCTAATTTGGGAATGACTGTAGGCAGTTCTTTGACACAGATAGTTCCAGAAAGACCAGTCAAAAATGTAAATAGAGTCAAAAGATGGATTTGGGTTGTGTATAAATATGCATTTCTAAGCATAAAAGTTTTAATTTATTTACTTATTTTGGTTTCTATAGAGCAATTAATTTTCCTGTTGACTATAGATAAATTTGTGACTTTAATAATCTATAAAACTATATATCACATTTGCTTTACCTATTTATCAGTTAGTCAGTATGGAAGTGTGAAGGAAGCATGATGAGAAAAAAGCAGAGTGCACTGTTGCATTTTGGTATTTGAGGTAGCTGTTCATGCGTGTGTGCTAAGTCACTTCAGTTGTATCTGACTCATTGTGACCTATGCCTATGGGTTGTAGCCAGCCATAGGATTCTCCAGACAAGAATACTGGAAAGTGTTGTCATGCCCTCCTCCAGGGGATCTTCCTGACCCAGGGATTGAACCTGCATCTTTTATGGTCTCCTGAATTGACAGGACCTGTATGGAAAAGAAAGAGCCCACAGTGGTAGCCTGTGGCTTAGTTGGTTCTGAAATTCTTTTAGGGTCTTGCCTGGCAAGGCCAGGAATTATTGCAAAGAGAAAACTGTCTTATTAACTCTTTCCATACCCAAACTGTACAGTACAACTGTCAACGTGGGGTAATGCTGAAGGTAAAATATAGAAACTGCTAGAAAGGAAAGTGCCATATAGATATATTTTTTTAATACTCTTAATTCTTTTTTCTTCATATTTATTTTTATTTGGTTATGCTGGGTCTTACTTGAAATTGGTGGGCCCTTTTATTTTCAACACAGCATGCAAAAGTTTTAGTTGAAGCATGTGGACTCAGTTACAGCATGTGATTCTTAGTATTTATATTTCAATATAATAGTAAATATGATTTAAAATTTGGTAATTTAAGAATAGCCACTAGCACAATAAGAATGCTTACAAATTTAGAAGCAATGTAGAACAATGATGGAAAATAACATTTAAAACTTGAAACCACCCTCCCTCACTTTTTAAATCATATATATATATATATAAAATTTATATATATATGATTTATATGTATTCATAAATGTGTATACATATACATAGTATTTTTTAATAAAAATATAGTTGATTTTAAAAGTTGTGTTAGTTTCTACTGTACAGCAAAGTGATTCAGTAATACTTGCATATGTATTTTTAAATATCCTTTTCCAATATGGTTTATCACAGGATACTGAATATAGTTCCTTGTGCTATAGAGTAGGACCGCATCCCTCATTTATGACATAGTAATTTGTGCATGCAAATTCAATGCCTTATGCCTTAGGTTCCCTATCAATATAATGGGGGTAATGAAGAAGCTCAATTCATGGGTCTATTGTGAACATCAGACAAGGTAAGAAAAGTGAAGAACTCATAGACATATCTGATATTATTTACTAAGAATTTAAAATATGTTAAAATTGTTATTTGAATATCCAAATGTATAAGATTGAAACAAAAAATGAAGATTTAATCAATCCAATTGAAGTCAGGAGAGGGAAAAAGAAGAAAGATGGCCAAACTAAGATAAGAAAAACAGCAATGAATATGAATAGATTACATGGTAATTTATTCATCTATTCATTTATTAACTTTACAAATACTTTATATACTTATCATCATATAAATGTAATATAAACAAATACTCTATGTACATATACCATTATATATATCATTAAGTATGAACATATATATATACATCATTAAGTATAAGTTATAAAGGTAGATGAGTCTTTATCACAGAAAAACTTCCTGTTATTCTAGAATTTTGTATTTAATGGAGGAGATAGAATTGTGCTGCCCAATATAGAACCCACCAGACATATTTGACTACAAAATTTTAAATTTGAATGAACTGAAATTTAATGAAATTAATTATTTAGTTCCACAGTCTCAGTGGCTACATTCAAGTGCTCAATAGACACATGTGGCTAGTGGCTACAGTGCTAGACAATACAGATAGAACACTATGATTATTGTACAACCCTCTATTGAAAAGTATTAATATAGATGTAACATGACAGAGATGAAATTTCAGTGCTGAGGTGGTCTGTGAAAGAAATAAGTGATGGTAATATGAGAGAGTGACTGGAATTAAAAAAAAAAAAAAAAAAAAAAGCCTGGTAGCATAACAGAAAGCAAAGTTACAGCATGCTTTTGTGAAGAGAAACAATACAACCTGAGAAGTTAAAAGTCAGATCTGGCCAATAGAGTCACAAGGTGTAGAATTTCATTCCAGCAAGAAGAGGCTCTATACACAAATTCTAGGCATAGAACTTGGAAAAACTGAGAATGAAAAGGAGGTCATTCACACATGGGCATGGTGAATGAAGGAGAAGATTCAGAAAACTGATTAGATAGTAGGAAGTGGAGGCAAAAAGATAGGACACTGAAAGATGAACTCCACAGGTTGATAGGTGCCCAATATGCTGCTGGTGATCAGTGGAAAAATAACTCCAGAAAGAACGAAGAGACAGAGTCAAAGCAAACAACACCCAGTTGTGGATGTGACTGGTGGTGGAAGTAAAGTCCAATGCTGTAAAGAGCAATATTGCATAGGAACCTGAAACGTTAGGTCCATGAATCAAGGCAATTTGGAAGCGATCAGATAGGAGATGGCAAGAGTGAACATCCACATTTTAGGAATCAGTGAACTAAGATGGACCGAAGTGGGTGAATTTAATTCAGATGACCATTATATCTACTACCGTGGGCAAAAATCCCTTAGAAGAAATGGAGTAGCCCTCACAGTTAACAAATGAATCCGAAATGCAGTACTTGGATGAAATCTCAAAAATGACAGAATGATCTCTATTCATTTCCAAGGAAAACCGTTCAATATCACAGTAATCCAAGTCTATGCTCTGACCAGTAATGCTGAAGAAGCTGAAGTTGAATGGTTCTATGAAGACATACAAGACCTTCTAGAACTAACACCCAAAACAGATGTCCTTTTCATTATAGGGGACTGGAATGCAAAAGTAGGAAGCCAAGAGATTCCTGGAATAACCGGCAAATATGGCCTTGGAACACAAAATGAGTAGGGCAAAGGCTAACAGTGTTGCCAAGAAAACACACTGGTCATAGAAATCTCCTTCTTCTAACAACACAGGATATGATTCTATACGTGGACACCACCAGATGGTCAATACTGAAATCAGATTGATTATATTCTTTGCAACCAAAGATGGAGATGCTGTATATAGTCAGCAAAAAAAAAGACAGGGAGCTGACTGTGGCTCAGATCATGAACTCCTTATTGCTAAATTCAGACTTAAATTGAAGACAGTAGGGAAAATCACTAGATCATTCAGGTATGACCTAAATCATATCCCTTATGATTATACAGTGGAAGTGACAAAGTGCCTGAAGAATGATGGACATAGGTTCCTGACATTGTACATTGTACATTGCAGTGTTCAAGACCGCCCCCCCCCAAAAAAAAAATGCAGAAAGGTAAAATGGTTGCCTGAGGAGGCCTTATGAGTAGCTAGAAAAGAAGAGAATCTAAGGCAAAGAGGAAAATGAAAGATAGACACATCTGAATGCAGAGTTCCAAAGAAGATCAAGGAAAGATAAGAAATAATTCCTCAGTGATCAATGCAAAGATATAGAAGAAAACAATAGAATGGGAAAGACAAGCAATCTCTTCAAGGAAATAAGAGGCACCAAGGGAACACTTCATGTAAAGATGGGCTCAATAAAGGACAGAAATGGTATGGACCTAACAGAAGCAGAAGATACTAAGAAGAGCTGGCAAGAATAAACATAAGAACTATACAAAAAAGATCTTCCTGCCACACATAACCATGATGGTGTGATCACTCCCCTAGGGCCAGACATCTTGGAATGTGAAGTCAACTGGGCCTTAGGAAGCATCACTACGAATAAAGCTAGTGGAGGTGACGGAATTCCAGTTGAGCTATTTCAAATCCTGAAAGATGATGCCGTGAAAGCACTGCAGTCAACATGCCAGCAAATTTGGAAAACTCAGCAGTGGCCACAGGACTGGAAAAAGTCAGTTTTAATTCCAATCCCAAAGAAAGGCAATGCCAAAGAATTTTCAAACTACCTAACAATTATACTCATCTTCAGTTCAGTCACTCANAAGTGATGGGACCAGATGCCATGATCTTAGTTTTCTGAATGTTGAGCTTTAAGCCAACTTTTTCACTCTCCTCTTTCACTTTCATCAAGAGGTTTTTAGTTCCTTTTCACTTTCTGCCATAAGGGTGGTGTCATCTGCATCTGAGGTTATTGATATTTCTCCTGGCAATCTTGATTCCAGCTTGTGTTTCTTCCAGCCCAGCATTTCTCAAGATGTACTCTGCATATAAGTTAAATAAACAGGGTGATGGTATAAAGCCTTGATATACTCCTTCTTCTATTTGGAACCAGTCTGTTGTTCAGTGTCTAGTTCTAACTGTTGCTCCTGACCTGCATATAGATTTCTCAAGAGGCAGGTCAGATGGTCTGGTATTCCCATCCCTTTCAGAATTTTTCACATTTTATTGTGATGTACACAGTCAAAGGCTTTGGCATAGTCAATAAAACAGAAGTAGATGTTTTTCTGGAACTCTCTTGCTTTTTCGATGATCCAACAGATGTTGGCAATTTGATCACTGGTTCCTCTGCCTTTTGTAAATCCAACTTGAACATCTGGAAGTTCACGATTCACGTATTGCTGAAGCCTGGCTTGGAGAATTTTTAGCATTACTTTACTAGCATGTGAGATGAGTACAATTGTGTAGTAGATTATCTTACACAATAGCAAATAATGCTCAAAAATTTTCCAAGCCAGACTTCAGCAGTATGTGAACTGTGACTTCCAGATGTTCAAGTTGGATTTACAAAAGGCAGAGGAACCAGAGATCAAATTGCCAACATCTGTTGGATCATCGAAAAAGCAAGAGTTCCAAAAAGATATCTATTCTACTTTATTGACTATGTCAAAGCTTTTGACTGTGTGGATCACAAAGAACTATGGAAAATTCTTAAAGAGATAGGAATAGCAGACCATCTGACTTGCCTCCTGAGAAATCTGTATGCAGGTCAGGAAGCAACAGTTAGAACTGGACATGGAAAAACAGACTGGTTCCAAATAGTCAAGGCTGTATGTTGTCACCCTGCTTATTTAACTTATATGCAGAGTACATCATGAGAAATGCTGGGATGAAGGAAGCACAAGCTGGAATCAAGATTTCTGGGAGAGATATCAATAACTTCAGACATGCAGATGACACCACCCTTATGGCAGAAAGTGAAGAAGAACTAAAGAGCCTCTTGATGAAAGTGAAAGAGGAGAGTGAAAAAGTTGGCTTAAAGCTCAACATTCAGAAAACTAAGATCATGGCATCTGGTCCCATCACTTCATGGCAAATAGATGGGGAAACAGTGGAAACAGTGAGAGATTTTATTTTTGGGTACTCTAAAATCACTGCAGATGGTGGCTGCATCATGAAATTAAAAGGTGCTTAGTCCTTGGATGGAAAGCTATGCCCAACCTAGACAGCATTTTAAAAAGTAGAGACATTACTCTGCCAATAAAAGTCCATAGAGTCAAAACTATGATTTTTCCAGTAGTCATGTAGGGATGTGAGAGTTGGATTATAAAGAAATCTGAGTGCCAAAGACTTGCCTTTAAGTTGGTTTTGGAGAAGAGTCTTGAGAATCCTTTGGACTTCAAAGAGATCAAACTAGTTAATCCAAAATGAAAACAGTCCTTCATTGGAAGGACTGATGCTGAAGCTGAAATTCCAATCTTTTGGCCACCTGATGAGAAGAATTGATCATTTGAAAAGACCCTGATGCTGGTAAAGATTGAAAGCAGAAGGAGTATGGGATGACAGAGGATGAGATGGTTGGATGGCATCACCACCTTGGAGGATATTAAGCTTGAGTACGCTCTGGGAGTTGGTGATGGACTGGGAGGTCTGGCATACTGCATTCCCTGGGGTCGCAAGTCATCGGACATGGCTGAGAGACTGAACTGGACTGAACTGAGTAGGAATTGACTATATTAGGTGCCTCTGGGTCGGCCTAAGTAAGGGTCTTTTCTAATGAGTCGGCACTTCATATCAGGTGACCAAAGTATTAGAGCTTCAGCTTCAGTATCAGTTCTTCTAATGAATATTCAGGAATAGACCCTGATGCTGGGAAAGACTGAAGGCGGGAGGAGAAGTGGGAAGCAGAGCATGAGATGGATGGATGGCATCATCGACTGAGTAGACATGAGTTTGAACAAACTCTGGGAGATAGTGAGGGATAGGAAAGCCCGGCATATTGCAGTCCATGGATTGTAAAGATTCAGACATGACTAAGCAGCTGAACAACAGCAGCAAGAAATTAATGATACAGCATCACTGAATATCATGTAATGGTAAAGTACCAGGCAAGTGAATATAAACAAAACCAAAAAAAAAAAAAAAAAAAAGCATTGATAGCAATACTTTTCAGTTTAACTGAAGATCAAGATACTAGAAAACAATAAAATCAATACTTTATAATGATTAATACACAAATCTTCAAGTGTGTCCTGTGATGTTCCATGTAAAGTGTTGTTGAGTATTGCAAAGACAATTCTTCGTAAGACAAAAATAGAGCATACTGGCTTTCCCTTGTAGCTTAGTGGTAAAGAATCTGCCTGCCAATGCAGGGGACATGGGTTCAACCCCTAATTCGGGAAGATCCCACAAGCCTAGGGAAAACTAAGTGCTTGCTCCACGTGCTCTAGAGCCCATACACTGTAGCGAGGAAATCATTGCAATGAGAAGCCCATACACCACAGCTGGAGGGTGGCTCCCGTCCATGCAGGAGTGAAGACCCAATGCAACCAGAAATAAATACATTTAAAAAGATACAGCACATCTACAATCATAGTGAGGCATATGCTGTGGGATAAATCATGCCTCCCTCACCGGTTCATATGCTGAAGCCCAATCCCCCAGTAGATCAGAAAGTGAATGTATTTGGAGCAAGGGTCTTTAAGGAGACAATTACATGATGTCATATGGGAGGGCTTTAATTCAAACTGACTAGTATTCTTCTAAGAAGAGATTGGACACAGACAAGCACAGTGAGACTCAGAGAAGTAGGGAGAAGACTCAGGGAGAAGATGAACATATACAAGCCAAAGAGAAAGGCTTTAAAATAAATTAAACCCTGCTTTTACCTTGATCCTGGGATTTTAAGTCTCTAGAATTGTGAGGAGATAAATTTCTGCTGTTTAAACCAGGTAGCTTGTGGTATTTCATACGGCAACCCTAGCAAATTAAGGCAGTACTTGGATATATGTGAATTTTAAAGAAAATCAAGTCCTAATTTCCCCCAGCCATCCCTGAAATAACAGAGGCTATATATATTACAAATAAATTTCACAAAAAAAAAAGGTATTTGAAAAATATTTACCTTCACAAAAAAGCAACAATGCTAAAAATCTATAGGTTGATTTAATTAATAATAGAAGTTATTTTTCAATAAAAAAATATGAATTTTGAGTTGATCCTTTCCATTATTTGAGTATAAAAGCACTCAAAATAAAAATTGGTTATTGTTCAACTATTACCCTGGATTTTTTAGTATAATCCTTAGGAATGCTCCCCTATTCCTCCCACATTATTTAGTTCTTGATCCATCTCAAATCTATTTTAGAAAAGAGGGTCATAATCTATATTCATTTTTAGCACCAGCTTTACAAAATGACATATGTGATGTCAGATATTTGAACCCGCATTTCAGTAATCCTGTGTATACATTCATACACTCTCATTTTTGTAAATCAAACTCAAAAATATTGAGTCTTTTAAGTAAATCCTGGTTGTAATTGATAAGGTGCAAGTAAAAACGAAGTCCGCATTTCCCCACAGTTCTGGTTTTCTAGAATTCTAACACTGCCCCCTCACCTTTGAACACATTTAAATAATACTCACATGATATTATTGAATTTTTTTAATCAGTGTATCTTTTAGTGTTAGAAGTTTGCATGTAGATGGCATTGATGTTGAAAGGTCATGTAATTCATTCTTCAGCCCTTGGACAGGAATCTATAAAAAACAATCCTAAAAGAGATTCAGGAGAGAGGGGTGTCACCTTGCATAGGTGATACATATGGGCTGCTTTCAACCATTCATCTCTGTAAAGGAAAAACACACACACACACACATAAAGTGGTATCTTTTCATTACAGTTTCAAGTCATTCCAGACTGAATCTAAACTAATATAATCTAATTTGATATCTACACTTTAGGTAACATACATAAACAGATGAGCAAAAATGACAGTATCTCTATAATGATTCAGAAAAAAAAAGAAAAGAAAGTCTTTGAGAGGTCTACTTTTACCATTCACCAACATTTTAATTAAAACATGTATCCTAACTTGAACAATGCTCATTCATAGCTCAGATGTCAATCACATCATTCTTAATTTACTTGCACTTTCAATTCATACAATGAAAAGCATTATCACTATGAAGGAAGCTAGGAAAAAAAAAATAGAAGAGCATGCAAAATGAGTTCACCTTTTGGTTTTCATGTGAGTAGAGCAAATTACTAAATCTATGGTTGCCAAAATGTGCACATATTTGTTAAAGAAGCAGCTGGCAATGTTGTATACAAGCTGTTCTCCAGAAATTAATTGTGAACATTAAGAATAATCCTGACCTGGGTCACAGCTGCATTGATTTATTTTTTCCTCCTAGACATTTATCAGCCCTGTCTTTGCTTCCACCTAACTGAAATCCGATGCCTCAGAGTTCATGATGAAAAAGCTGCCAACGTATTATGGACCTGTACAAGTTAGACATCTGTTTAAACTCCATGCTTTTGGTCTTTTCATGATTGTAGTATGCCAAATTATGAACACCATATGAAGCATAAAATTGTTCTGGCTCACCTTCTCTTGCAGGTAATTAAAAAGAAAAAACATTTAAATTATCATATTAAGCGAAGTCTAGCAGTTTATATTCAAGTGGTTGAAAGAGATTCAGTGATAAAAGCAAATTAGTGTATGGACAAAACAAATCCATCTGAAGTATATTGTCTTATAGTGGCTAGAAAATTAATCTGAGAAAATTATTTCTAAAGATTTTTACCCCAGTTATTTTCTATTTTTAATAGATTTGAATCTTCATTTTAAATGAAGCAAACCCTAGTATTTTTCCAAATAATAGTATATTTGTTGAAGGTACATAATTTTAATTTTTATACTTCTTGATATAAAATAAAATATGGTAGACTATCTTTCAAAGTGTGCAATACAGTGATACTTAGCATCATCTTAAAATCTTCCTGTGTAAAAATAACTGGACCAAAATTAAAGAGTCTTAGTGAGACTCAATAATAATAGATATAAAACATCTGTCATATAAAAACCTATACATTACAGATATTGGTTTTGGGAGACATTAGAGAATTGTGTTTAAGAGCATGGTCACTGATTTTATTAAACCAAAATCCTGACCCATGATATTTTTCTTTCTTTTGTAATTTTTCTCTTCAAATTCTTGCAGTATTTTTTAATGTTCACTCTCAAGTTTAAACATTTTATTTCATTCTCAGAGCTCAAAACAATTGCCTCAAGTTCAGCATATATTTGTGTAGCACAGTTTTTAAAAATGACATTAAATGAGCTCATTCTCAAACTTTCACCATCAGTCTCCAAAATTCCCTGTAATACTCATTCCTTTTCCATTTCATTCCAATAATATTGAAAGATCTGCCCATAACCTCACTGAAGGCTAAATATTTCTGTACCAGTTAGAACCTCCTCTTTCTTCTTTCTGATGACCCCTTAATGCTTGCATTTAAGATTTTCAATTTCAGCTAATTTTGAAAATAATTCTCCATAGACTATAGTGAAACGACTGTCTGTGATTATTAAAAAAAAAAAAAAAAATCTTTGCAGATATATTAGTTAAGGGTCTAAATATAAAGTCACCTTGGAGTTAGGTAGAACCTAAATCCAATAATTTGAATCTTAATAAGGGAAAGGAGAGGTAGATTTAGATAGAGATGCACAGAGGGAAGAATACCCTTGGAAGAAGGAGACAGAGATCGGACCTATGCTGACACAGACAAAGGAACATCTGAGGCCACCAGAAACTGGGAAGATTCTTTCCTAGAGCTTTTAGACATCTGTGAGGGAACATTTCTCTTGTAATCTACTCATTTGTGGCAATTTGTTATGGCAACCCCAAGGAAACAAATATATCCATGATCTTCCATAAATTCACTATTAAAAAAAAGAAAAGGGAAAAATGTCTCGGATTTATTTTTCCTCCGTCTTTCTCCTGTTTCCTATGGTAGGAAATAGAGAGGTAGGGACTAAGTGTGGCTGGAAAAATGTGACCTACTATGCAGACTGGATCCGTTTGAATTCAGGATCTGCAAGATCAGATGAACCTTTAGCTGGCTCAGCAATGTACTCAATTTCTTTGATTAATAGCTCTAAAATCGCTTTCACATTCACCAAGGGATATGTCATATCACTTTTTCTCTTTCTAAATCTTTAATTTCCTTCCACCACTTTACTTTTGGCTCATGGCTGAAACAACCATGAATGAACAGAAATCATATAAATTATCTATTCGTAAATCCAGTAGACTACAAATCTGTGGCTCTTACTGTTTTCTTCCATTTCTATTATGAGATTTATCCTCTATCAAAAATTAGTCACTACAGTGTATCCTGGATGCCACATCCTTTTTATTTTTTATTTTTTTAAATTAAGTTTTTATACAGTTTTAGAAGTTGCCTTCCATTTAGTTATTACAGAGCATTGGCTGGATGGCTCAAGTTGTATAGCACACCCTTCTGCCTCTCTCACAACCAGTAGTTTGTACCTTCCATGCTCCCACCTGGCAGTACCCTTTTTATTTTTTCAGGGACTTTTCCTCATTGGTGAACTCATCATTGATTACACTGAGTCACATTAGGGCTTCCTGGTGGCTGAGATAGTAAAGACTCTGCCTGCAGTGCAGGAGACCCCAGTTCGATCCCTGGGCTGGGAAGATCCCATGGAGAAGGGAATGGCTACTCACTCCAGTATTCTTGCCTGGAGAATCCCATGGACAGAGGAGCCTGGCGGTCCATAGGATTGCCAAAGGTGGGGTGTGACTAAGTGACTGGCATTCACTTTGCCACATCATTACATCAAATACAGCCTATTTTCTCTGATCCTTTTTGTAGACAGGCTTCTCAAAACCCTTTTCCTGTGACTTATTCTTTCTCTAACCATTCTTTCAGATTCTTCTCAGTTTTTTTAGATGATTGTTCTGGTAAATAGTATTGCTACAAAAATGTCCTTCTTTCAAATGAACAATTGAAGCATATATTCCTGATTTTTGTCCAACTGTCTGATGCTCCATCTCAGACATGTTTGAGTTACTCTTTCTTGTCTAACCAAATGTGAAGGGGATAACTTCCTTGGAAATAGTTTTACTTTTCTCTTTCTTTCTTTCTTTTTTTTTTTTTTTGATCATAACCAATGATATCTAAATGTAAACACCTCACCCAAATTTCTCATATACTTACAATAGCAATATGTCATCTCCACTAGCAAACCCCACCATATTAAACCTAATCTCTCAGGCTATTTTCTGTGGAAGAGTTCTTGTCTGATTTTCTCATCATGAAGTTCTAGGACTTCAGCGTATAACTGGCACAGAGTATTCAATAAATTCTTTGAGTTAAAAGTGGGTTCTACAATTTTATAAAAAAGGAAAAAAAGACAGTAAATTGAGAATGAAATGGTAAAGAGTAGCTCAGTTGTGTCCAGTTCTTTTCAACCCCATGGACTGTAGACTGCCAGCCTCTTCTGTCCTTGGGATTCTCCAGGCAAGGACACTGGAGTGGGTTGCCATTCCCTCTTCCAGGGGATCTTCTGGACCCAGGGATCGAACCTGGGTCTCCTGCACTACAGGCAGATTCTTTACCATCTGAGCCACCAGGGAAGTCCAAATTGAGAATAAACATAGTAAATTCACTGAGTAAACTTTAGTAGTCATTAAAGTGAGATTTTATATAATGATTAAATGTTAGTTTTGAAAATTTTTAGATATTTATAAAATAATCATTAAAGAGTTATATTTATTATCTTTTGAAGTTATTGATGTGGCTCAGAGCTACTATTTTTAGGCAACAGAGTCACTTTTTTTTTTCACTATTTCTCCTAGAGACCTCTAATTTAATGACTCTGATGTTATAATCAACACTAGTATTCTCAAAATAGACATTTTGTTCCATATATGTAAATATTTAAATTGTTGATTTGAAGCAGTGGATCTATAAAGTGCTGAAGTTCAACAGATCAATAAATAGGGTCAGCATACTATTGGCTGTATCAGGTTTCAATTTTTTTTTTAATATAATTCAAGGCAGCTAATATCTTCATGTTTTGTGCAAGAAAAGACAAAAAAAAAAAAAGCCAGACTTTCATGGTATTGCCAAAATCTTTTAGAAGACCTTTATATTAAGGGCAGAAAGATGAATGTGTATAGTTGCAGTGGGATAAGCTGGATAAATAAAAAGAGCATAGGCGTATTTATGCTACAGTATTTATTCTAGGAGTATTATATACACACATATATACATAAAAATATATATACATATATATATATATATATATATATATATATACATTTCATACTTCTGTGTGCATGTTCAGTCATGCACACAGTTCACCTTTTTGCAACCCCAAAGACTGTAGCCCACCAGGTTCCTCTGTCCATGGAATTTTGCAGGAAAGAATACTGGAGTGGGTTGCTGTTTCATACTCCAGGGGATATTCCCAATCCAGTAAATAAACCTGTGTCTTTTGTACCTCCTGCTTTGGCAAGGCGATTCTTTCCCACTGCACCACATGGGAAAACTATATATATATATATATATATATATATTATATATATATGTATATATTTGTGTGCATATATACCCCATTTTAAATGCCACAAGCTGATTTTTAACATAAAGACTTAGAGACCCTGTGATTATCCATTTGATCCCTAAATTTGACTATAAGAAATAGTACGTTTAAGCCCATGTATTTCCCATAAAAGGAGCATATGCTTCTCCTTTACTGAGTCCTAAAGGAGTACTGACTAAAGTGGGTGTTTGGGGCAGAAGGAATGATGATGGAAAGGGAACACTGTCTTCTCTAGGACACAGATATCCTGGGAAGACAAGAATAGGGACACAGGGTCAACTGCCTCCCGAGTGAGGGCCATGTAAAATTATCATGACAATCCTTCCCTAAACCTAACATGAACTAAGCTTTCCCCTTGTTTGGGACACAATGATAAAGAGTAAGAAAACATAAAATGAAGTCAAGCATAATGTTTTGGTCATGTTAATAATGATATTTATCCTCATTTACCACTTGTATATGCACCCATCACATATAATTACTGAGTAGTACTGATGAACAATCAACTCGAGAACTAACACCAACAAGATATTTCAGAGACTAGGGTTATAAACCAGGTTATTTTGCATGTCATCTGAGTGCTTTTTTTTCATAATGTAAAGTTATTCAGTTCAGTTCAGTTGCTCAGTTATGTACAATTCTTTGCAACCCCATGGACTATAGCAAGCCAGGCTTCCCTGTCCATTGTATATGCTAAATCCTTAGCCCTTAGTTCACAAGTTGCTTTTTAATAATTTCATATTAACAACATACAGCTTACTGGCAAGTTGTACAAATGTTATGCTATCCTTGATTTTTGAAATATGGAAATTCTTTTAGATGATATTGTAATAATTTTATACTGTTAGAATGAAAAATGTAGTATCTCCATAGTTCCTAAGAAGAATTCTTTAAAATTGAAACTCAATTTATTGGCATCTGAGAAGTTAGTTTTATTGGGAGATTCATAACCTGAAGAA